GGAAGTGGGAGGGAGGCTGTTGCATTATGGTAAACTGTGGTCAATGACATGAGACAAAGTATATGTGAACTGCTGTATGGAAAGTGAATTTGCTTTGTAAATTTTCACCCAAATCACAATAAAAATAAAAAAATTGGAAGCCACCAAAATATCCTCCAATAAATAATGGATAACCTAATGGTGGTACATACTCACTGCCTTCAAGTCGGATCTGACTCATAGTGACCCTGAGACGGTATCACTACAGAAGTAGATTGCCAAACCTTCTTTCCCAGTTGTGGCTGTTGGGTTTAAACCGCCAACCTTCTGGTTAGCAGTCACATGCCTTAGGGACTATGCCACCAGAGCAATTTTATTCAACAAGAAGACAGAAATGAGCTATGGAGCCATGCAAAGACATGGTTGAATCAAACGCATATTGCTAGTGAAAGAAACCAGTCTACATACTGTATGATTTCAACTATAGGATATTCTGCAAAAGGCAAAACCACAGAGAAAGTGAACAGATCAGTGGTTTCCAGAGGTTGAGGAGAGATAGGTGAATAAGTGAAGCACGGAAAGGTGGTAAAACTATACCGTATGATACTGTAATGCTTGGTTCATGAAACTATGCATTTGTCAAGATCCACAGAACTTTATAGCACAAAGAGTGAACTTTGATGCTGATAAATAAAAAAAATTAAAATCTAGGTCAGGACATCCCAGGATGGAATGCAGAATACGACCAAAAGGATGAAAGTCCAGATGGACTACAACTTAAAAAAAATGGTTAAGAGCAACATAAAGGTTCTTTAAACATGTTTGTTTCTACAGACTATGACAGCCTGAGATTTTCTAGTAAATAGGAATTCACAACTGTCTTGTGGAAGAAAATTCCCCCACTGCTGGAGATAGTCAAACCTGACTATACCATCACTGTTTGGAAGTGTTGTAAAGCAGTGGTTTTTAGCCTTCTGGAAGGTGCTGGAAGCCCGTGAGAATCCAATATTGCATGGAAATGCCCCTATACTCTAATGCACACAATTTTGCATATATTTCCAGGGAGTTCACTGATTACAAGAAGTGTCTCCATGAATCTCAGGGTAAGAATTCCTGTTGTAGAAAACTAGAGTGTCTCCAACACTCCTTCAGTTTCTGTGACTTTAGTTAACATAAATGTATTATGTCTTAAATGCTTCATGTTTTTATTATCTATACATTTTTTTTTCAGTTGTATAAGTGACCTATAAATACGACCATCAGGTTAGCTGTCTCTATGCAAATTGGGAAAAGTTGACTCCTCTGGACAGTGAAACTAGAAATAAACATCCCTTCCTCCAGGTTGCTGTGGTCCATGTCAGGGCACAGCACTTAGGAAGAAGAGCTCAGGCTGAATGTTAGTCCCTAATCACCCCTTCAGCAGGGCACTCTCATACATGGTACAACCAGCATTTGTATTGGTAGGCCACAGACTGGTCATCTGGATAAAGAGCTGAAGACTGTTTTAGAAAAGTGTTAAAATCAACTTTGCCACTGGTTAAAAAAAATCATAATACTTGGGGGAGAAGGGAAGTAGGAGAAAAGGCATTACCCCATTTTTACTGCCAATGAAGAAAACAGATTTTTCTCCAATTTCAACTCCATCCCCTTCATTTCCATTACTCCTCCTTTTTTCCACTTCAGCTTTTGCAATTTCCCAGAGTGTTTCACTAGATGAGAGCCAAAAAAAAAAAAAAAAAAATTGAGAGAAAGAAGGATATTTCAAATATTTATTTCACGCTCAGAGATGTTTTATTTATAAACTTCAAGTTTATAAGACATTATTTCTCTGGGGGACAAAAACTTGCTAAAGATTGTAAGGGTTAGTCATCTTGTGATGTTTTTCTTTGCACTGGTTCATCAAAGATGCTGAGAATGATAAGCAGAGCTTTAGCACCAAGATTTAAGGTTTTTCTATTTTGTGGCTTATAGGTTGACAGCTATGGGATAGTTCCTCAGACACATACATAGGTACAATGGCTTTTGGAAATACAACTTGAAAACCATCAACACTTAAATCATCTAGGAAAATGAAGATAAATAAAACTAGTGTATTAAATAATCCTTGCTCCATGAAACATTTTTTTTTTGCTATTATTTACGAAATCATATTTTTCGGCTCATGCGTTCCTCCCTTTTTTCATAAAAGTATAAAGAAGGGGGAAAAAAACCCACCAAAAATCTCAAATATCTTAAAGATTTCTTTTTTGATGTAATATGCAATTTTACAAAAATAAGATTTTATCATGCATTTTTAAAATTAGTCTAAGTGAAAAATGCAATACAAAGAAATGTAAAACAAAAAAGGAGAAAGACATGATTGGTTCTAGTTTCAATCCACTACTATTTAGGTACGTGAACTGTTGGCAAATGACCTAAACTCCCTAGATCCTTTGTTAATGCAACAAATATTTATTGAGCACCTTATATATGCAAGGCTCCGTGCTAGGGCCCAGGCTCACCTCTAAAATGCTGACCAAAAAAAAAAAAAAAAAAAATTTATGAGGTTGATGTATGAGTTATGATATATAATTTTATGATTGTTAATATATGATAATCCATTTAGTTGAAGCGCTGGTCTATAAAAATTACCTAAAATTTATTTAGTGCTTACAATTGTCATTATTCAAGAACCAGGAATAAAGAAAGCATCTATAACAGGCTAAAACAGGTGTCTGTTTTGGTCATAAAAGTCTCTTCATGCAGGAGACCTGGATCTAGTCACAGCCAATGCATGTCACGTGCAGCCACTACCTGTCTGTCTCTGGAGGCTTGTGTGTTGCTTGGATGCTTCCAGACAAAGGCAGACTAGGAAAAAGCTGGTCAACTTCCAAAAATCAGCCAATGAAAACCCTATGGATCACCAAGGCTGATTCACCATTGTGCACTGCCTTGCCATGACTTGAGGGCAGATTCAACCGCAGCTAACAAAAAATGTATGCACTAAAATCACACATTTACTTCAAAAGAGAGCCTCCAGGCCCTTAGTGGGAGTCTGTCTGTCTGCTCTTCATTTACCTACCCTCTTTTCAAAACGTGATCATCTAATTTCTAAATACTCAGCAGAGAAAGAAGGTGCTCTAATTACTCAACCTGTGGAAATTTGTAACTATAAGCATACCTTTGTAACTGTAACCAATCACACTGTGATGGAATGCTGACAATTTTTTACCTACGTTGATGAAAGAAACAGCTTTATTTTGCTTTGTGATGGCCTTCCCGACCCCTCTTCCTGACGTCCTTATAAATTGTTCTCAGAAGATTTTAGATATTATCTTGAGAACAGATAATAAAATTGACATCAAAGAAATGAAGAGCTAAAATCTATTTAAAAGTCATCAAAATCCTTTCTTTTGTTTTCCTTTTTAAACTTTTTTCTTTTTATACTTTCACAGTGATCGGGCAGGTTTCCATTTACTGAACTCCTGCAACAACGAGGGAAGGTCCCTGAGGAGGATGCCTTGTGGTCGGTTCACCAATGCATTTTCTGTTCCAAGACAGTCCCTTGCCCCCAAGAAACTTTTCTTAAATCACTGAATAGATTAATCTGATGATCTCTCAAGTCCCTTACTTTTGCTATCTGAAGAACATTATGTGGCAGAATACACATGCTCAAGGGGAATTCTTACGGACCTCTGACCATCTAGACCCATTGCAGGCGCGATAGGCTCAGATCTTCCACTTGTAGGTTCCGCAAGGGCTACCCCTCCACAACAATACCCCCAGTGGCTTCTTCCTCCTCTGGTCCTACCAGGCTGGGGTGGGAAAGAGGGGAGACTCTCGAGAGGAGCGTAAAACGGAGCAGGCAGGGCTAAATGCGGGAGTACCTGGGCATCTTGGTGCAGCGCCCTGGGATCGTGGGCTCGTCGTACGGCCGAGCCTAGAAAACTCCAGGCAGCGACCTCCTAGGTGAGCCCAGGATTGTGGGCCTCCGGCTTACCATGGCAACGACGTCACGTTTTGATTGATTGCTTGAGGAAGCGAGGCATCATGGGAATTGTAGTTCTCTGTATTCCTTTTCCAGTGTGTCAGCGAGAAGCAGAGGTGACAAGTGGTTACAAACTTAGGACCTAAGCATTCTGGGCTGGGTATGTTCTTTTGTTCAAGAAATATTTTACTGAGTGCCAGAGGTCTCTATTCTCTCTCATTAGTGATTTTTATTTTCTCTATAGCAATAATGCATAGTGGCTAAGACACTTGCCTGCTAACCAGACGGCTGGCGGTTCAAACCCACCAGCCGCTCCTCGGAAGGAAGGTTAGGCAATCCTACTTCCGTAGTGATACTGCCTCGGAAACCCAAGGAGGGGTCGCTATGAGTAGGGGCCAACTCGATGGCAAACAACAACAACAACATAGCAATAATTTGGGAATAGAGGGTGAAACAATCTCATAAACTGTTTTCTAGTAATTTACTGTTGTTGTTATATGCCGTCGAGTCAACCCCGACTCATAGTGACTTCTTCTTGGGTTGCCGAGGCAGTATCACTACGGAAGTAGATTGCCCAACATTCCTTCCGAGGAGTGGCAAAGAATGCTCAGATTTAAAACTGACAATAACACATGTTTAGTTGCTGCAGGTTTTATGTGATAGTACATCCTATATTAATAAATTAACAAAGCAAGTGTATTTCCTACATACTTGATTTAGATGGGTAGATTTTTGTTTGAACTTTAAAATCTCTTTATAGATCTCCAAAAATCTCCAGATTAATAACAACCTTTGAGTTATTACTATACGCAAAGTCCCGTGCTACAAAGAATTAGGAATAAGATAAGATATCTGCTAATTATAATAAGCTAAGGAAGGACATGATGTAAACTAATGCAGGAAGGCACAAAAATTACATGAGAACACAAGACATATTATGTCCAGGTGGTTGTTGAAATATTTATGACAGTGATAGTGTTTGATCTATCTTGAATGCAGAGTACAGACCAGGCGCTCTGGCCTCAAGATGCCCTGAATATATGAAGGAGGATCTTGTCCTGCCATTTGACTTAGTTTTCATAATGTAATGTTCCAGAACATGGGCTTTGGACTAAGAAAGCCTTCCATACTGTGTAAATTAACACATTGTATACTGTCACCTAGTAGACTCAACTTGTGTGAGCCTTCCTTTCAGATTCTGGCTGGTAGAGGGAAAGCATGAGTTTTTTTTTGTTTTTTTTTTTAAAAAAAGAAAAACTTAACTCACTGCCATCAAGTCGATTCTGACTCATAGCAACCCGCATTGGGTTTCCCAGGCAGTAAATCTTTATGAAAATAGATTGCCCCATCTTCCTTCCACAGAGCAGCTGGTGGGTTTGAACCGCCAACCTTCTACTTAGCAGTCAAACACCTTAGGCACTGTGCCACCAGAGCTCCTTTAAAATGAGATAAATTTATGTAAAACATAAGTTATATATGTACCTGGCACTTACTTTATAAGGCCTCAGTGTTTGCTACTATCATGTAGTAAACTGCTGGTCCTCAGCTTTGAAGAAGGTTCATATCTTGTGGTGCAGTGAGTTACTTGGTATGGCTCTTCTTCCCATGGTCTTTGTGATTCCCGCCAGATTACTGGATGTAACTATGCAAATGTAACGTTTCTCTGGCCTACCAAGGGAACTGGATAATTTGTTACTAATGTAAATAAGGTACATGGCACTCTTGTGGGGGTGTGACCATGGAAATTAGATGTCTGATATCCTAATGTGGGGATTGGTCAGATTTGTCATTTCACTAGGCTTAAAATGAGCCCACCCCCCAGAAACAGATCCATTGACCTATAGTCAGCTGATCTTTGACAAAGGCCCAAAATCCATTAAATGGGGAAGAGAATGTTTGTTTAATAAATGGTGCTGGCAA